AGCTGTCTAGCTAGCTGGCTAGCTGGCCAGCTAGCTAGCTAGATAGCTAGCGAGCTGTCTAGCTACTTGGCTGGCTGTCTAGCTACCTAGCTGGTTAGCTGTCTAGCTAGCTAGCTGCCTAACGCTAGCTAGCTAGCTAGCTAGCTGTCTAACGCCAGCTAGCTAGCTATCTAGCTAGCTAGCTAGCTAGCTAGCTGTCTAACGCCAGCTAGCTAGCTATCTAGCTAGCTAGCTAGCTAGCTAGCTAGCTGTTGTAGGGCTTACTGCGTCGTAGGCGGCGTCAGTAATGCCGGCCCTGAGTTCTGTGAGTTCTCGCCGCAGCCGTTCAGCTTCTCTTTGCGAGTCGCAGTAGTTCCGCTGCGCACAAACCCTAAACCCTAAACCCTAAACCCTAAACCCTAAACCCTAAACCCTAAGCCGTGCATTTTGAGCGTGTGTGGTAGGGCTTGAAGCGCTAAGAAGGAATGAGTTGCATCTGTCTTGCTGGTGAAGGGACACAGACACTTTCCCACCCAAACAAGCAGCAGCAGCAGCAGCAGCAGCAGCAGCAGCAGCAGAGCCAACAGTACGAGCAGCAGCGCTAGTAGCTACAAAGGAAGCAAGCAAAACAGCACTAACTGCAGCAGCAGGGCCAATCGCGGTAGCAGTAGCTGCAGCAGTAAGCACCTGCGGCGGCAGCAGCAGCAGCAATAGCAGTCGCAGCTGTAGCAACGCCTCTCGCAGCGGCAGCAGCAGCAGCAGCAGCAGCAGCACTGACCAAGACCTCTTCCATGAGCTTCTTGAGGTCTTCATTTTCGAGTTCTCCTGCAGCTTTTTTTGTCTCCTGGCGGCTTCCGGGGCCTCCCTTAGTTGGCATATTCTTAGCAGCAAGTCTGCAGCAGCAGCAGCAGCAGCAGCAGCAAGAGGAAACTGCAGTTTTGTGTTTGCATGCATGTCTTTAATAATGCCATTCGTTGTTTCTCGGACTTGAAGATAATATATATTAAGGTAATAAACATAATAAATAAGTAAACAAACGAATAAATAAATGATAAATACATAAATAAAATAATAAATAAATAGATAAATAAATAAATCATTACTTGAGTTGCTGCAGCTCCTGCTTGGCAGCAGCTAGCTCTGCTTCTGTCTGCTGCTGCAGCCGCCGGTCTGCTGCTGCTCGCGCCACCTGCGACAAATCAGCAGCAGCAGCAAAAATAAAACACTCTGAAGCAGTAGCTGCTGCTGCTGCTGCTGCTGCTGCGGCTAGTGGTGGAGGTGCTGCGACAGGGGCTGCTGCTGCTCCGCCGCTGTTTCTACAGCAGGAGCAGCTGCAGCAGTCACTGCCGCTGCCCCCGCAGCAGCAGCTGCTGCTGCTGCAGTAGCCGCTGCAGCAGCAGCAGCAGCTGCTGCTCCTTCTGCTGCTGCTGCTTACCTCTTTGTCTAGCTGCTGCTGCAGCAGCGACAGCTGCTTCGTTTGCTCTTGGAGGCGATCGTCAAGAACCTGTTTGGCAAGTCTGAGCTGTACATACACCCGAAGCACACGAAATAGCAGCAAATAAATAAATAAATAATAAATAAATAAATAAACAAGTAAATAAATGATAAATGAATAATAAATAACAAATGAATAAATAAACACTTTAAATTATTCAAATTAATAATTTACTTCGTTTGTCAGAGTCCGCCAGCCCTCCGTGTCTTTTGGCTCTGAAGAATTTTCTGAAAAACAAAAGAAATAAATATTTAATTAATTTAATTAAATAAAATAAATAATGTTTAATTAATATTCAATTAATATTCAATTAATATTTAATTAATATTTAACTATAAATTAATTCAAAATGTTTCATCAATTTCGTTGGCTGTGTAATGGATGGCGCTGGGCCTCCAGGTGTATGTACACCAGCGCGCTACCTGCTGCTGCTGCTGCTGCAGTTGCTGCCGCTGCTGCTGCTGCTGCTGTAGTTGGTGTTGCTGCTGCTGCTGCTGGTCCTGCTTCTGTTGCTGCCGCAACTGCTGCTGCTGATGTTGCTACTGGCTTTACAACTACTAGGGCAGCAGCAAGTGCTGCTGCTGTTGCTGCTGCTGCTGCTGCTGCTGCTGCTGCTGCTGCTGTGCCCCGCCTACCTCTGCCCCTCGTGCACCTTCCTCTCTCTCTCCGGCAATTTAAACCCATCCTTACATTTATTATTAATTAATTAATTATTTGTTTATTTATAATTAATTAATTAATTTATTTATTTATTTATTTATTTATTTACCTTCTTCTTTCGTGGCTGTCTTTTCACTCAAAGCCGTTGGGGGTGAACCCCCAAAGGTTTGGCTGTGGGCCCTCAGCTCTTCTGTGCGGGCGAAGTTGGGGAGGGGGGCCCCCTTTTGCTGCTGCTGCTGCTGCTGCTGCTGCTGTCGTTTGTCTCCTTTAAATGCTTCCACCAGCAGCTGTATTGCTTCGTTGCTGTCGATATCTGGCTCTGTTGCTGCTGCTGGCTGCAAAGTATGGGCCGGAGAGGTTGGGGGCCCAGCAGCAGCAGCAGCAGGTGCTGCTGCTGCTGTAGCTGCTGCTGCTGCTGTTGCTGCTTGGTGGGAGGGGCTGGGGGCCCCTACTGAATTGCTGCGACTAGTTTTGCTGCTGCCGCTGCTGCTAATGAACTGGAAAGAACACAAAGAGGAGGGGGGCCCCCCTGCTGCTGATTGAGGTACACTGGGGGGGCCCCCCTGGGGCCCCTGGGGCCCCCGGGGCCCCGGGGGCCCCTCCTGGGTCCCCTGGGGAGCCCCGCCGGCTCCTTGCTGGGG